GGGGGGGGGGGTAAGGGGGAAGGAGAAACACGATGTGTTATTGGGATGAGTCCCCTGGCGGATAGTATCCTGGCAGCCTCCTGTGTGGGCTCCAGACCCCCAGGGGTCCAGTGGCATTTGGACACCCCCAGAACTCCTTCATTGCCAACTCTGGTCTTAGAAACGTCTCCTTTTCTTGGGTCCCCATCTCAGAGAAGCCCCATTCCCCAGTGATTTCTTAAAGACCCGAATCTCGTTTCAGGTGTGCTATCACTCCCAAGCCTTTCCTAGCTCCCCATTCCCTTCGGATAAAGCTCAAACACTTGGCCCAGTTTGCAAGGCTCAGTAGAGTCTTCCCCTGGGCGTCTCCAGCCTGATTTCCTGTCACCTCCTGGCCTCAGCCACTCACGAATGGTTCAGTCTTCCCAGACACTTCCCAGGACATCTGTGCTTCCCTGTTGGGAGGCACACACATTGGTGTCTTGGGGTGTGTGGCTCAGCTGCCCACCCGGACTGCCAGCGTTTGGCTAGCATGTCTCATCTGTCTCTGTCACAGGCCAGCTCAGGACCAGACACACCGAGAGCAGAGAGGGGTCCGCACCAGGGGCGGGTGCGGGACGAGGGAGGAATGTTGCCAGAGCCTGGGGTCTGTGGGTTTTGGAGGAGCAAGTTCCCTGGGGGCGTTCAGAGGCCCTGGGCGGGGATGGACAATTAGGTGTCGGGGTTCGGGATTGCTGAGCGCTTGGAACTTTGGGGAGGATAGTGAGATTCACCTTGGTGCTATCAGGGCTCAGGTGGGCATGGGAGTCCTTGAGTCTGGAGATGGCACTGTGACAGAGGCCCCCGGTGACCGCCATCAGTGTGTTGAAATTCTGCAGCTGGTGGAGCTTCTGGACAGGGAGGCGAAGCAGAAATGGTGGTTATCACAGCAGGACAGGAAAGTTGGGAGTCTGGATGAGAGCATCCCAATGGAGATGGGGTCCCAGACGTGTGGACCAGTGTGGGCATCAGACAGGTGAGAGGAGGTAGGTGGGGAGGTGTGTGGGCATCACGGGGTGTCAGTTATCTGAGGAGGAGGGTCAGGCAGGTGACAGGCTGATGTGAGGTTAGAGACGTGCGGGGAGAGAGGCCCTGGGGACAGTTAGACAGATCTGGGGAGTGGACCAAGGTGTGTCTTGTGTGGGAGGGTTCGGATGTCAGGATGTCAGGTATCTGGGGGTTCGATTGCTCGGAGAGTGGGGCAGGCAAGGGAGGCAAGACGGCGTGGGCTCTGGGCAGGAGCTGGGAACCAGGCAAAGGTGTCCGGGGCCAGACAGGACAGGACAGGGCAGGTGTGGGGCCAACCGGGCATCCGTCTCTCCCCCTCCCTCTTTCCACATCTGAGGGCGGAGGTCACCGTCAAGGGTGGGGCTAGGAAAGAGTGGAAAATGCTCAGACCCAGGAGACCCCGAGCGGCGTCAGAACCCCCAGACCTAAGGGGCCCAGCAGGAGGAAGCCAGCGGAGGAAGACGCCGGAGGAAGGGCGCGGCCAGGGCGATGGAAGGCTTCCCTTTTCCTCCGAGGGGAGGGCGCGTCCGGAGGGGCGGGGCCGGGGGCACCGGCGAGAGAGGGAGGGATGCAGTTGCCGTCCCCAAGGGCCCGCAGGGGCTCGAAGCCTCCGTGGGGGGTGACGCAAAGGTGGGGGCTTGGAAGGGACGCTTCCGATAACCGGGGATGGGATATGTGGACACAGGGTTTAGGCGACGGGCCAGGAGGGGCCTCGCCGCCTGCCACGTCGAGGGCCGGGCTGGGAACGCCTGGACTGCGGCCTCCGGGGCGGACCGCCGGGCGGGTGGGCCTGCGTGACGTCACCGCCAGGCTGGCCCCGCGGGCTGAGGGCACGGGAACCTCCGCAGGGTCAGGAGAGCCCCGGAAAGCCCGCGGAGAGACGGCGGGCCTCACCTGTGCCACGTGGATGAACTTGTCCAGCACCTGCGCGCGCTGCGCCGGGCCCGGGCGGCTCAGCACCATGACCTGCACCCAGCGGGACACGCTGTTGCTGAGGCCCACGGAGCCCTCCAGGGCCGGGCAGCCCTGCACGGAGCCCCGCAACACGTAGCTCCGCAGATCCTGAGGCTGGGGGCGAGGTGGGCGTCAGGGTGGGCCGTGGCACTCGGGCCCTGCCCTCACGTGCCATCCTCCAGGCGGTCACGACCTCTGATGCTCTAGCCTGGTCTATCCTGAGGGACCTCTGTCATCTGTCTCCCCCCAGGCTGCCGCATGCCCCTGACGTCTCCATGGCCCTCTCCCATCTGAGGAGAAATGTGTAAATAAAGCCAGGCTCTATTCTGAGCACTTTATCATATTAACTAATTTAATCCTCAGAACTCTACGAGGTGAGTACTACTATGAATACTATTATTATCTATTATTGCTCCCAATTTTTTGTTTTGTTTTTGAGTTGGAGCCTCACTTTGTCACCCATGCTGGAGTGCAGTAGCACGGCCCCTGCAGCCTTGATCTGCTGGGCTCCGGTGATCCTTCCGCCTCAGCCTTCCAAGTAGCTGGAACTACAGGCGCACGCTACCACGCCC